AGAGAGGGAAGGACTTCCAGGAAAGGGGGGGGGGGGGGGGGGAGCCAGGGAATTCCTTTCTCACAAGTTGTTATAGGTCCATGACAGAAATTTGACCAAGATTAGTTAATTCTCTAGACTATGGTCAGCCAGAGCCCCAGGGCATGTCTTTCTGAACCAGCCAAGGAGATACTAATGCTCTTTGTTCATGGGGTGATGACCATGCTATGGATGGTGAAACCCTGTCCACTCCTGACTCCATCTTTGCTGGGATTTTAGCTTGACACTGTCACTTGGTTGGCATGACTACCCTCTGAGCTCTGCTCATGTCTCAGGTGTTGGTAATTATCCTAAGTTCTCTTTGTTCCTGAATTTACAAGATAAGCAGCAAGCTTTGCTATGGGGAAGAGCTAACTTGATCATGGTCAACAAGATGTAGCAGCAGGTTTTCTTGGTTACCCCATATTTAGCTCTTTGTTTGTGGGGTGCTCTGAAGCCTCTTGTTAGAAGCCTTCCTTACTGGCAACTTAATCTGTTGCCGTCAGCTGCATTAGAAGCAAGAAAATAAGAAAGGATAACAGAAACTACGTATGCCATGTCCATCACAGGCTTTGGGGACTTGGCATGCATGCGTGTAGCGTGGGGGGTGCTCATCTACCTTGGTATTCCAAATTCCAAATATTCCTTGTAACCCCACCCTCTATTCTTGCCGTAACATGGGAAAACTTAACAGTTTTCACCCTGGGTGCTTTCCCCTTGCCATCTACAGAAGGCCAGCTCCTGCATCAGAGCAACCTTCATTCTTCCTGGCTAGGAAACAGCAACTTTTGCTTGGTAATTACTCTATGAGGCACCATAGAGCACTTGCAAGTCTCAGCTTCCAGGTCCAACTGTCAACAGGGCACCCCACCCCACCTTCCCTAGAGCCTAGAAAATCCTCTCTGATAATTTCCCATGTGATCCGATGGAGGGCCTCACCTTCACACCTTTCCTGTGCTGCTCCAAGCCTTCAGAGAGCCCTTCTCCAGCCCTACCACTTCCCACTGTGCCCTTTCCCCACAGTAATTGAACCCCACCTTGATGGAACCTTAGTGACCACAAGGCAGAGACTGGGCTTGTTCTTGTTCATGTATATGGGGAGCATCCCATATACATGAGCCAGTTTCCTAAACCTTCCTGGGTCAGCCCTGCTATGCTACGACTTTTGGGAGCTGCGAGACAACCCCAAAAGCCCCTCCCTCCCCCCTCCCCGCTTCCCTGAAAGGTCGCCAGCATCTCACTGTTAGGCGTACTTCAGGACTTGATGCAGGAGGAACAGAGAACAAGGCTGGCTATTAGGGTAATACTGGGCAGACCTTGAGGGCAGGGCACTCAGTTTGGCTCTGAGGTCTCAGGCAAGTTCTTTCACCTACTCCAGCCAGTCTCTAAGAACTGGTCCACAGTACAAGCAGAGAGAGACGCTGAGCGGGAGTGACAGGATACGAGTCATGCTATTGCGAGGCAGGACTTAGAGCAAGTCTTGAAGGCTGGGGGAATCACAGACTAGCAATCACTGAGGAGGCCTGGGTGCTTTAGAATGAGGAGATAGCCATCAGCTGCTGGAGAAAGTGAGCCAGGGGGTCTAGGAAGCCCAGGAAACACAGTTATAGAACCAGTTTCCAGTTCCATAGCTGCTCAGGAAACAGGTTCAATAACGGAGTAGAGGATCAGCAGTGGACAAGCGCGCAGGGTCCGTGCGCTGCCGCCTCACTTATGGAGCACAGCAGGGGAAACCGCCCTCTACTCAGCTTCCTCAATCTTGAGTGTCCTTTCTAAACATCTACAAGCTGTCTCAGGTCAGGAGTCTGGGAAGCCAGGTGTTTGCTTGTTTGTGTTTTTAGTTTTAACCATTGCTTTTGTTTTCGGGGTGATGCTGGGGATTGAACCCAGGGCCCTGTGTATGCCAGGCCAGGGTTCTGTAACTGGGCTACCTACTCAGATGACTTTCAAAACACAGTTAACGTGTTGCTTGTGCCCATTTTAGTAAGAGTAATGCTATACTCGTTAACCCCTTTTAGTGCTTTCCTTCACACCTAGATACCCTTTTGATTAGAAAGTGACATTTGCCCAGATATATTTGGTTCTTGTGGAACTCCTGTCCTCTCCAGGTCGTATTAACTCCCCTCCCCCCCTTTTTTTATTCCCTGCATTCTGCCGGAGGTTTGGTTATGAGTCTTCGTATCTGCTTTGATACACTGCTAGGTAGAGTCATTCAGAGGCCCTCTGTGGTAGGTTCCTGTCCTGTTACTTGTTTGCTCCTACATCCAATGTCCATCCCATTTGTCTTTCTAAGTGGGTCTTTTATGAGACTGTTTCTCCAAACAAAGACCATGTATGGATGCAACCTAGAGCCCCTGCTCAGATGTAGCCCTTGGTAGCTCAGTATCCAAGTGGGTACCCTAATAAGGGGAATAGGGACTGTTTCTGACAGGAACTCGATGGCAGGCTCTTTGACCTTCCTCCTCCCCCAGGGAGGAGCAGCCTTGCTAGGCCACAGAGGAGGACTTTGCAGCCAGTCCTGAAGATACCTGATAAACCAGTATCAGATGAATGGGGAGGAGGTTCTCCCTTATCAGTGGACTTGGAAAGGGGCAGGGAGGAGATGGGGGGGGAGGGGGACTGGGAGGGAAAGAGGGAGCGGGATACAGCAGGGATACAAAGTTAACAAATTGTAACTAATATTAAAAAAATAAAAATTAAAAAAAAAAAGAGAGATTTGCACCTGCTTCCAAACAAGAAAATTCTTCACACGTCTAAGGGATGGGTGGAGGGCCAGAGTGGGGAAAGGGAGGGCTATTAGCAGCATTAGCATCACCCCCTGACATCTTCCCATTCGCCTTCCCACACCCAGGGACTCAGTCTGACCCCTTAATACCTTGCTATATCCAAACACTTGCTGTGGTCTACCTCACTGAGCCCTCCCCCACCTTTGCTGCCTCAGGTACCTGAACTGCCAGTACAGAGGCTTGAAGCCAGCCCCAGAATTGTCAGAACGCATGAGAAACGGCAAAAGCTACAGAGAACTGACACTCAGGGCCACCCACACTCTCCACTATTGTGAAAGACGAGGGCAAAGTGAGCATCTTCCCTGGGATGGATTTTCCCTCCTGGGTAGAGCCTTAGATAATCCACAGCTACTCAAGGTCGAAGTTCACTGCCCTCTCAAGCAATGGTGAGTGAAACAGGTTGGAGTCTGAAGAGAAAAGGGCGAGTCAAGGGCTCTCAAAGGGGCAGGTAAGAGAGATGTTTTATCTGTTTTTCCATAGAGAAGAAGAAGCATCTTCTCAAGCCAAAGATGGTGGAAATAACTTCTCAGGAGCTGAAATTAACACCTAGAAACCTGATATCTTTTGGACTTATCTTGCTCTTAAGGCCCTTTGGCATTTTGTGGATCATGGCCAGAAACTCTGTTTAGACATATATTCTATTTTTGCCACTCTCAAAAAACTGAACTCGGGCAAGGCAGAAATCTGGATTCCCTGACATTGTATGTTCTTGTTTAAGACAGGGTCTCATGTATCACAGGCTGGTCTCAAACTCCCTAGATAGTTAAATATAACCTTAAACTTCTGGTCCTCTTGCCTCTTCCTCCCCAGGGCTGGCATTTTGGAGTATACCACCAATGCCCAGATTTATTTGGTACAGATGATGGCAAGCAGGGCCTTCTCCATGCTACAGAAGCCTCCTACTAAGCTACATCCACATCCCATGAGGTCCCATAACTTGTTTTGTAAAAGAAAAGTACCTTTCATAGTATGGTATAACCCAGTGTAACACAAAGTGTCTGGCAACCGGTAAATGGAAGTTAGCTGGCATGAAGAGTAATGACGAAGGCAATGACATCTGCCTTGGGTCTTTTCCACATCCACATGCTTACAGAGGCCCTGACACAGACCCTGAAATGGTCCCACTTAAGAACATAGTGTCTCCATTTCATCTGTTTAGATAAATTAAAATATTCTTGGTATAGGCAGCTTCTATAGTTATTGATAAACTTGAGTTAGGCTTTGAGATTTTTTTTTTTTCCAGTTAAAGCACAGTGATCCTGCGTGCCTGGAACTGATGGGAGAGAGAGAGCTGTAAACAGCTTAGGTAATGACTCCCTGTCGAGCAAATTACCTGCTGAAATGATCTCTCCTGTGGTGTCCTGGCACGACTCGTTATCCCAAAAGATTACAAATACTTTAGAAATGGAGGAAATGTTTTATTATTATTATTATTATTATTATTGTTATTATTATTATTATTATTATCATTGTCATGTTTGTGCTTGCACAGGCACCAATATCACAGTATGTCTGGAGAGGTGAGAGGACAAGCAGGAGTTGAGTCATGGTTGGCTCCTTTCACTGTGGGCTTCAGGGATCCAACTCCGTTTGTCAGGCTTGTGTCTGGCAAGCACTTTTCCAGCCGAGCTATCTTGCTGACAATGTTTTCCTTACTGACGGGTGAGAGCAACTACATAGCTTCAAAACAACTCAAGAATGCTAGCAGTTTTCACCACTCACTTAGGTTTAACTCTTGTTGGTACCTCTGTTTAGCTAATGAAACATAAGCCAGATGCCTTTTGCTTTGGTGTAGATAGCAGTAGCCAGGCACAGATAAAGGACCTCATTTAAAGATAAACTATCTTAGTATGACTTTTTATTGATCAAAGGATGGATGGACTGATGGATGGACTGATGGCTCCAAGGAGTTCTTGGGCACGCTACACAAGTGGTCTATCCTGAGCTACCTCCAGTCATGGATACCGTATTTCACAACCTGGTCTCGAGAACTGGTTTTATTTGATGAGTTCCCATAAATTATCTCCTTGTACATTTTCTTTTAAATAATTCTTGTAACAAATAATAACTGTGATAGTTTTTATTGAATATGTCCTTAGGGCATCAGAAAACTTAGATGTCTCTGAAATTTGCAGTTTGAAAATTAGGACATTTGTGTGAGACACAAGATTTCTTTTTAAAACTAAAGAATTAAAGTTATTTAGTCAGTGATTGTGATTCCTCCTCAACCATGCCTGACTCAGTATATTCATTATTCTCGTTGAAAGTTTGCTCATTCATCTCCTCCTCATTTAAGGTTCCTTGATTGTAGCTTGAAGAAAAATCCATAGATTTAGATCTTGACTTTCTGGTGCTTGGGTGTCTCATGTCTGAAGGAGCGTTGCCCCAATATAAGCTGCTCTCTGCACTTTTTGAAAAAGATGTGTCTGATACACCTTCTGATGGATGGAAATAAGACATATTTGCCAGCTCTGGGTTGATGGAGTATTGATTATCATAATTTTTTTCACTGAAAAAGAAGAGAACACAGAATCAGGAGTTGTCTTTAGTTGCATCTACTTGTAACTCAAACCAGAAGAGGTAAAATACAAATGGAAATTCTGTTTAAAGTATTAGTTAATGAATGCAAATGGTATAGTTTTTCTTTCATTAGGGCCAAATGAACCACCAATGCCTGGTGGATGCAGCCTATATCAAACTGCAATATTAGAATTTAAAAACCAATAATACAGGTTGCCTTAATTAATAAAGGCTTAACAAGAAACGTAAAGAGGAGCCGAATTAGGGAGAATACATATCTAACTTTACAGACTTAATGGATAAGATAAATATATTACAAGGCACCACAGTCAAAAGAATAAAATTAATGGTAATCGTGAACTTTCAAAAGTAATCCTGTGGAGTTGTTTAAAAAAAAAATCTGTGATACTGTACAAAAGAAGTTGTAAAGACACCAACCATGACCCAAGGTTCAAATGAAATTTAATATTTTTATAAGAAAAGACAAATGATTATATAAAACAAATGTCTAGGCATCGGAGCATATAAGTGACAGATTTCCAGTTTGTTTCAAGATCTTAAGCAGGGCAACCCAAAATGAATGTTAAATCCCAAGCAAATAGTTAACGAGAATAAACAGTCTGTGCTCCAGGGCTACTTTGCAGGGAGATGGAGGGTGGAAGTGTGGTCTAGCTCTTATATCTTTCCTAATTAACTGCAGGTGTGATTTTTCTGACTATTTAAAACAGCGGGGCAAATACAGTGAACTATTCCCTGAGACAGCGCCCATTCCTAATGCATAGAGGAAGTAGACTCAAGTGTAATATTTTAATACATTACGAAGAGGAACACATACTCCTTTCTATCCACTAAAAACAGAAGGAGAGAGCACTAACTAGTTCGGAAGACTACAAAGGCCAGTGGGTTTACCTTAGTTTTCTTAGTTTGCAGAGTGTGGCACAACAAAATATCAAGAGGGGAATTAAGAGGATAAGGGTCAGCAATGAGATCCCCAGCATTAATTTGAGCTTGATTTCCTCTAGCTCTGACAGTTTGTCTCCATTGGTAGTGTTGAAATCAGAGCCTGGGAAGAAAGAAAAACAATACAATACAATGGAAAATGGAGTGTTGTGGTATTTTCTTCAAGGAATAACAAACACAGAATGTGTCTGCAGTATTCACAGCTCACTCTTCCTGCACCAGACCTTGGCTGAAAGAAGGCTGCTTCTTTGCCCATGTACACAACTTCCTGTTTAGTTTTGTAACAGTCTTGGATTAGCCGTGCCTAACTCCATTTTATAAACTCATGGAAGTCTGCAAAGCTTTTACTAATCAAAATGTCATTTTAAGCTCAAACTACCCATAAGAAAATTTTTATGCAAGCAAGCCTTCAAGCAAGCCTTTCTTCTTGGCTTTACTAAAAAACACGTTAGGTAACTTATCATCTTTGGGGAGATTATTAGGTCAATTTACAAGGCACTGGTTCTTAGGAAAGGTGCCATTTATTGATTGTTGATCTTAGAGCCTGTGCTGTAAAGGGCAGGAGCTCCACAAGGAGAGCAACAGAACCAAAATATCTGGACACAGGGGTCTTTTCTGAGACTGATACTCCAACCAAGGACTGTGCATGGAGACAACCTAGGACCCTTGCTCAGACGTAGCCCATGGTAGTCCAGTATCCAAGTGAGTTCCCATAAATGGGAACAGGGACTGTCTCGGATATGAACTCAGTGGCTGGCTCTTTGACCACCTCCCCCTGACTGTCAGATTTTGGACCTTCATAAGAATATGCCTGCCTTAAAATATATGTGATATTGAAACTTCCCTTTTCACAGTTCTTCCATGCCCACTCAACAGTGTTCCAAGATATTTAGCTACTTTCTAGATAATATTTTGATAATAGCAATGACGGTATAGATTCACATGTCAATGTTCTCTGACTTTTGAACATCTTAATTATTGTACCTGGGATGTAACCCAGTGGTAGAGCTCTTGCTAGCATGTTCAGACGCCTAGGTTCGGTACCCAGTACCAACAAACAGAAAAATATATATTCCAAGTAGAATGAAATATGTACAGTTGCCAATAATTTTTATCTGACTTTATGACTCATTTGGGAATAATCAAGCAGATTGTATTAAGATAAATTGTCCCCCTTAAATGTAGCTATAGTTTCTAAAGCCTTTTTTTTTTTTTTTTGAGACAGGATCAATTGTCCTGGAATTCCCTAAGAACACGCTGCTGGCTTTGAACTCATAGAAATCTGCCTGCCTCTGCTTCCTAATGCTGGGATTAAGGTGCTACTACACTCAGCTCCCCAAAGCCTTTTTAATTGGTGTGTTCATAGATCCTCTCGTCCTGCTGTTTTGTCTCCCAGAAATCAAGCCACATCCCCTGTTAGAGAGAGAGACAGAGAGAGAGAGAGGGAGAGAGAGAATAACAGCTGTGACCTTGTAGCTCTCACTGAGTTCTCTCCTGACCCTAAGCCAACCCTGTCACCTGACACCTAGGCCCAAGACAGCCTTGAACTGAACGTAAATTTACTCTCTTGTCTAGAGTTTTTTCTAGGTCAGGGGCCACATAGGCTAAACCAGACTAGGTTGGTGGTATAAACTTTATCTCCTACCACACCCTAAACCTGTTAGAGTCAGAAGCTGCCTTTGTTCCCTTATCTGAAGGAAGTAGACAGGTTTAGCCCTTCAGAGCTCCTCTCAGCTGCCCATGGCCATATGCTGTACCTCTCTTGATATTCCAGAAAGGAAGGATCCAAATCCTTTCATGGCCCTGTAGGCCATGATGTTATCTCTCCTGTGTTCATTTCAGGATTTCATTGTGGCTGCCTAGGACTCTTTTAAGAAAGCACATATGAAAGGTAATTTGCCCAGTCTCCCTTTCCTACAAATGTTTCACTCCTCCTATCATAGTCTATTATCAGAGTCAAGGCCAAAACCAGAGACAGCTTCGGAATTTAAGCTGGCCTTCCTTTGCTTTATGCCTCAATTACTTCAAAAACTAGACTTGGTGGGAGAACTGACTTAATGTTGCTAAAACACCAAAATACCTGATATATAATGTGTCCCCAATAAATGGTAGAAAGCCAGAAACCTCCACGTTCAGTCACTTAACTGCTAAGTAGAGAGATGACGTATTTCTAAGGTCACCCACCATTTGTCATCCTGTACGTGAAAAAGACTCAATACACACTCCTAAACATCTCAAGAGAAAGGCTATATTTGCCAAATAATTCATTACAGAACTGAGCAGACAGATCTCAGATATGCCACCAAATGTGTGTATTTTTCAATTATTTACTTGTAGGACAGAGGGCTTGAAGAAAATTAAAAACATTGCCCTTTAATACAATTTTCCATTCAATTCAAATTAGGAATTTGGTTCCTGGGACTCAAGTCAGGAGGCTCACAGACACCTGTAACTCAACCTCCAAGGGATCAGACACCGTCTTCTGGCCTCTGTAGACGCCTACACACCTACACATACAATAAGTTTTAACTTAAAAAAAAAAGCAGATACCAAAAGAAGGGTGGTATAGGGGAATGCTGTAGTTTTTGCTATTGTCTTCCTTAAATTTAAAACTCTAAAGTAAAACCTGTTTTGAAGAGACTATATATGTGTGTATATGTGTGTAACATATACATGTAATATAGACATATGTGTATATATGTAACGTATACACATATGCGTATTCCTCACTCACCTATCAGTCTGTTTCAACACTGTAAGTCAGAAGACTGGAAGACGGTAAAGGGCAACAAGAGTACTTGAGGGGTATACTTTGTCTAAGGCAGCCAACGTCCCTTCTGATGTGGCATTAGCTGTCCTTATACTCTACCCTCTCCTATGAGAAGTTGTTTCACCATGCAGCCACTAAAATTCAGATGATATTTATGGATTTATTAATTAAAGTACTTTGTTCTTACTTGGAACTGCTCTAAATAATTGGTCTTTCTCATCGAAGGGCTGTGCGTTTCCAGTTATAGCTGTTAAAACAATATGTTGATGTTATAAGCAGCATTCACTTGTCAAAACTAAAAAGTGAGTAGGAAATTATGAACGTAAATTCAACACATACAAACAACGATGGTCAAGTGACTATGGAATACATTTCATTTTATAATGCACAGATATGTGACACATACATTACATACACACATGTATCTACACAGAGCACACGCTCGCATAGATTGGTCTGTGCATTTTACTGGGCATGTGTTTATGCTGTTCACATTGCTTTCATGCACAAATGTACACTGATACTTTGCACTTCTTCCTTGTGCATCTCTATGTTCATGTGCCTGCTGCTGCAAACACTGAGGAACCATACTGGGCAAAACCTTGTTTAAAATGCTGAATCATGCACTTAGTTGAATGATTTTTTTTTTTTTTTTTTTTTTTAAATCTGGGCTCAGATGTTTCTGGAGTAAAAGCTATAAAATAGTAAGATCGTGATAGTTACTTGAAGCACCATGATAAGAAAAACAACTCCCCTATACCAGCACATGCTGGTATTTTTTTTTAATATTTAATTTTATTTATATATTTATTTATTATAATTTATTCACTTTGCATTTCTGCTGCAACCCCCTTACCTTCTCTCCTCCCAGTCCTACCCCTCCCTCTTCTCACCTTATGCCCTTTCCCTAGTCCTCTGATAGGGGAGGACCTCCTCTCCTTCTATCTGACCCTAGCTTATCAGGTCTCATCAAGGATGGCTGCACCATTTTCCTCTCTGACCCGGCAAGGTTGCACCCCCCAGGGGGAGGTGATCAAAGAGCCTGCCACTGAATTCATGTCAGAGACAGCCCTTGTACCCCTTACTAGGGAAGCCACTTAGAGACTGAACAGTCAATGGGGGATCTAGGTCCTCTCCATGCATGGTCCTTAGTTGGAATATTGGTCTCTGCAGGCCTCCCCGGGCCCAGGTATTTTGGCTCTGTTGTCCTTCTTGTGGAGTTCCTATCCCCTCCAGGTCTTCCTACCTCCCTCTTCTTCAATAAGGATTCTGGCCCTCTGCCCAAAGTTTGGCTATGAGTCTCAGCATCTCCTTTGATACCCTGGTGGGTACAGTCTTTCAGAAGTCCTCTAAGCAAAGGACACTGTCACCAGAACAAAACAACAGCCTACAGACTGGGAAAAAGTCTTCACCAACCCTACATCTGACAGAGGCTAATATCCAGAATATATAAACAACCGAAGAAGTTAAACACCAACAAACCAAGTAATCCAATAAAAAATGGGGTGGAGAGCTAAACAGAAAATTTTCAACAGAGGAATATCGAATGGCAGAGAAACGTTTAAAAAAATGCTCAACATCCTTAGTCATTCAGGAAATGCAAATCAAAATGACCCTGAGATTTCACCTCACACCCATCAGAATGGCTAAGATCAAAAACTCAAGGGATCATGCACGCTGGAGAGGATGTCTTCTCTCATTTTAAGATACACTCTAGGCTAACATTTGTAAGAGGACATACTTCTGGATGTAGGAGAACCAGAAATTGCAACTTTATTATTTCTTTGAATATTATATTTGATATTACAAGGAGCAGTAAACATGAGCTTATTGATAATTGTCAGAAATACTTAAGTCAGTCTTTGTCTTTCTTATATAAAATGTTAGAAAATCAAAATATTTCCCCAGTTACCTTATATATATGAATTTACCTTTAGCTAACATTGTCCAAAATGCAGGCACATTGGGAGTTGACCCTGTTGAAAAGAGACAACAGGGGTAATGGGTGAGAATCTATTGTCTGCAATTACACTCACATTCACTCACTCAAAACCCTTAGGAGAGTCATCCTGGGCTATGTGGCTTCACAAATACTTTACAAGGAACAATGATGTTGGCAAGAAAATAAAATGGTGATTTTGAGTTTGTAATCTCCTATTTCTGAGACCCTCCCTCAAAAACTCTTAGGAAACATTAATCATTTTTACCAGAGATAGATTTACTCCTTAATCAAGTAGAATATTTTACATTGTCATCAAAACTATTATAATATACCCCCATATGCTCATACTCGCTAAATCTAAACATTTATAAATGTATTTTATAAATTTACACGAATATTTATAAATATTTTAAAACTTTGAAAATCTCAGTTCCTATGGCTTGTGAGGTGCCTTGGACTCTTACACATTTGCCACTTAAAAGACTCTGCGGTTACTCTAAGTGATAGTAGTATAGATTCTTTAGGCATGCCATTCACTTATGTCATGTTCAAAGCAGTTGAAAGCTAATTGCATAAGCCATATAATAATATGCTCCAGATACATAATACAGTGTAGAAGTTTTAATACTTTGCATATCCTTACTAGTGCGTTTGATATATTTTTCTTCAGCTGCAGTGGCACTGGTGAGTTTATCTAAGAAAAGGGATAAAGTATTTTCAGCATATTAAAACATTGACCAAGGGAAGGTGGGATTGGGAGGGAATGAGGGAGTGGGATACAGCTGGGATACAAAGTTAATAAACTGCAACTAATATTAAAAAAAAATTGGCCAAATGTCAAAACGAGGAGAGAACAAAGGAAACATTTTTATCAGAAACAAAGAATAGAAAGAAAGGCATCGGAGACTAATGGTTTTGTGACTGGAGGATGCCTGAAGTAGGATTAATATGTCTGTACTCCATGAAAGAGAGAAAAAGCATGGAACCCAGGCCTTTAGAGGTAATGGAGAACTATTGACTTAAGACAGTTGTCTCTGGCAGGCTCCCTGTACAGGCCTTAGTACAGATCTTAGCTATGATGTGTCCATTCGAAGCTGCATCACTAAGAATATTTGGGCTGTACGGGCTAAGCCGAATAGTAGCTGAATTCAATATGGGGTACCATTCCACTACGGGAGGATTTCCATGGGGGAGGAGAAGAATTCACAGAGCCTGCAAATCCATCACAGGCATCCTGCTAATGAGCAACGGTGGAAAAGAAAACCTGTTTCTGAACTATTGACTCAGGACTCAAAAGAGGTGAATAATCCCAGCTACAATGTAACCATTAATTCTTACTAAGGATAATAACATTCAGTTGTCTCAATTTACCTCATTGTCCACAGAACTTCAGAGACTCAAGCAATTTAACGATAAATGCTCAAGCGATTTGTCATTAGTGAAAGCTGTCCTGGAGCTCTCTGTTTGTTTGATGGGCTTGCTCTTCTGGAGTGTTCTACATGTAGAGGGCACAAAGTCTTATTCCACTCCAACTTTTGTTGACAGTACTCAAGTTGTGGGGGTTGGAATCTTGGGATTTGGAATCTCTTCCTTAGGCATTAGTGTTAGGAAGTGAGAACACTTCCTTAGTGTTCTCAGTAACTTATATTGTTGAGAATTTGAGATATCTAGATGCTTAGGAGTCAGTTAACTGAGCCGGTCACATGCCTGTAATCCCAGCACTCTGGGAGGCTGAGGTAGGTTGATCACTCTGAGTTCAAGGCCAGCCTGGTCTACAAAGTGAGTCCAGGATAGCCAAGGTCACCCAGAAAAACCCTCTCTCAAAACAAAACAAAAGAAAACAAAACAAAAAGTCAGTTAACTGTATCTTATCCTATAACTCAAGATGTTCTACATAAGCAAGATGCCCTTGGTGAATTAACTAAGTTTTTCCTAAAGTGTGACTGTTACAAGGCTTAGAGTTTCTCAAATGACCCGTTATTGTCAAGTAAATTTATTAATAACTAGGCATTATTAAGTCTGCGTTGATACTGAAATAGCTATGCCCAGAAAGAGTCACTTTTTGCTATTTCACATCATCCAAAACATAAAAGAGCCCCACCACCACCACCACCACCACAACTATGGGTTTAATTAAGAAAAGTAATAGCCTGGAATCCTAAATTTAGCTAGTTTTTTTTCCATGCAAACAGAGAAACAGGAAGTTTAGAAATGACAGGCTTTGCCTGTCTTCTGGAATGGTCACTGTTATAGGCATGGGGCTTCAGAATGTTGTAGAAGAAAATAGAGGGGGGCGGGGAAGAAGATTACAGAACTCTGCTGGCTCCCAGAAGTATGAGATAGAAAAGATGGATTGTAGAGCTGAATCCTTGGGCCTCCCCTATTTGCCCTGTGCTGTTCTGGAGGAACCCTGCCTAAGGTTTTTGCGTGTGCAGCAGCGAAGGTGCGTTCAGAACTTACAGGCCTTTACAGAAACTTCAGTTGTGGCAGTCACAGACAGTTCCGATTCCGAGCCAAGTGTACTGTGGGTGGTAAACACATCTACAAACAAAATCACAAGTCTTTAGCAACCAGTAGATTACCTCTCATCCATTATTCTTCTTAGTATTGTTTAACTTTAAAAGTATCCACTGACTAATAAAAAGTAATTATAAGCAAAAATATAAGATTTTTCTTCTTCGAAGTGGAGCAATGGGTAAGCTAAAAATTCATAAGGAAAAAAGTCAAACTAATTTCCTTATTATAAATAACTATGAGAAACAAATATTGAGGAAATTCATGGAATCTGTGTATATGTGTATATGACACCAAAATCAAGGGCAATAATTGTCACTAAATCTAACCTCAAAACCTCAAAAAATAAAAAATAAAAAGAGACAGGAATAGAGAAAGGGTTGTTGAAAATACAATTAGAATAAAGCCAGATTAGAGTAGGATGCGCTATTAATTAGGTTTTTCTAATGCCATTACACAAGAGGGAAATCTGCAGAGAGAAACAAAGAATCGTACATGAAGAGGGTGAGGAACAAACTAAGCTGATTCTGCCAGAACCTAGGACCACCTTTGCCACCAAAGGCTAAAGGAAGAAAAGGAGTGTTCTCAACCTTTGGCTTTGGATGGAGCCTTACTTGATTGGTTCTGCCTTGATTTTGGACTTACAAGCCTCTAGAAATACTGAAAAATACTTTTCTATTGTCTTGTTCCTTTTAATTTGTGGTGTTTTGTTTCAGCAGCATTCAAAAACTGATTCACACCTCAAAATAAGTTTTGGCTAATTTACTTTCAAATTGGATCAGTTTTCATTAAAGTGATTAAGAATCAAAATGTCACAATGAACCAGCTAACAGAAATAGAGCAAAGATAACCTTATTAAATTTCATAACACCTCATGAAAAAAGCTTTAATTTTCCACGCTGAAATGTCTACAAAGTAAATTAGAAGCTCAAGTCATGGAAATAAAACGATGATGGGAGATTACAAGGCAGGATTAAGACAAATCAAGCCGAAGCAATCAGATTTATTTTTATTTTTGTTTTTTCGAGACAGGGTTTCTCTGTGGAGCCTTGGCTGGTCCTGGACTCGCTTCATAGACCAGGCTGGCCTTGAATTCACAGAGATTCACCTGCCTCTGCCTCCCAGAGTGCTGGAATTACAGGTGTGTGTTACTGCACCTGGCTGCAATCAGATTTTTGCATCAACTTCTCGCATATGCTATTAACTTTAAAAACTTACAATGTTTTATATCTTTATAGTAATTGCCAGTTTTCTCATTGGCAGGAGCTTCATCTTCATTCACTTCTGGTTTTTGCACAACGGGTTTGTCTTCTTCACGAACAGGGACATTATTAGCTGTGGTAGCATCGTCTGAGTAAAACTGTTCTTCATACGAAGGTATTATCTCATCACTGTCCTCTGAAAATGGAAACATGACACGCCATGGGACAGAATATGTTAATTTTCTTTATTGCTTTCTTTCACTGGAATTTTTTCACAGTTAGAAACTGAGGTTTAACAGTTAAATTATATTATATCTCCAACTTTCAGTCACCCTGCAGAGACTTGCCATATATGACTTTCTGTCAATGAGCGTCATCCTTCTGATAGACTAATTTCAAATGTTTACTTACGTTCTGCAATAGACTGCAGATTGCTAATGTCTGAAAGGAAAACCCCAGATAAAAATATCAACAACACAAAATCCATCAGAAAATTGGTGTGATTTATGCAGCAATCTGCTGTCTCCTCAGAGCTTCCTTCTTGTGGCCTAGCAGGCCCTAAGACTCAGTAGGACATTATGACATCACTGGTCATGGGAAATAGAATGCCATGGAAATGCCCAGAGCTTTGTGACTCCATATCACGACCATTTCATTTGTAATGGTTTTATTTTTTAAAAATAAACCTTAAATTTTTTTCTGTAAAAGATAACACGTGTTTTCACAAAATAATGATAGTTATTGGTTGACAAATTATAAATAATCAATCATGTTGATAATGACATTTAAACTGAGAATTTGGGTTTATTTTTAATGGTGTATGTTTTGGATAGCTGCAATCTGTTAAAAAAAATATCAATAACAACAAAACACAATAAACAAAACAAAACAAAATAAAAATCTAGTCAGAGAAAGAAAAATTCCAAACTCATTTCAAATACCCAACAAGTTCTGGTTCATAAACTATTTGACTATAGTTCTTTAGGAAAAGTTTTATGAAAGATCTTTTATCTATTTAAACATATATATTCATTATGAGATATAACATGTTGTTATTGTTTAATTTTTTCCAATAAGGCAAACTTTCACTTCACATTTCAGTTGAGAAAATAATCTAAGACTTAGCAACCAGTATGAATAGTGTTGCACATGAATTACTTATATAATAATAATTGATGAGCAATAAGGACAGAGAGCTATTGGACATCACAGGATCACCAAAGTTTGAAGTGTGCTAACTTCAACTACTGTTGATGTTAACCCCTTTATATTGGGTGATATTCATATTCAATTCATAAGCGTCAGGAAAAAACAGCATAATATCTCAGCACTTTATGTTTCCGCCATTGAAGGGGAATGTCATAAGTGAACTACAAGTGGTTCTTCATTGATGGTGTCTTGTGGGATGGAGCACAGACTCAGCAGAGTCTGATTGCCTATAAGGAGAAAAGAGGCAGTGATTGTCCAAAGGAAAGATGGATAAGCCAGCCAGGTTCTTAACCAAAATCTTAGTCAACCAAAAGGAAATGATCCAATATTTGACATCGCTTTTCTTTTAGATTGTTTCCCACTCATTTCAAGTAAGGACCAGAAGGTAGAAAAGGCTGAGATGACAAGTCTCTAGAGCCTGACCTCAGGTGCCTCTCTAATGTGGTTCAACACAGGGAATCATGGAGTCAGGAAACAAACATGCCTCGTGTTTCTGCAAACCATAAAACAACTTTCGATGATGTAGCTACAGGGTAAAAAGGCCAAATGGGGGGAAAACACCCACCCTGCCCCTGACCTCAAGCCCAGGGCTATCTATCATCTATCTATCTATCTATCTATCTATCTATCTATCTATCTATCTATCTATCTATCTATCTTCTAGCATTCTATGATTTTATTTATTTTTTTATTTTTAGAAAGACCCTCATGATGTAGTCCTGGCCGGGCTGTAACTTGCTATGTAGACCAGGCTGGCCTCAATTCTGCAGAGGTCTGCCTGCCTCCAGGAGTGCTGGATTCAAAGGTGTGCACTACTACACTCATGCTGAGTCAACACCCAACCACCCTGGACCCTGCACTTTGGGAATCCCGAGTGCAGTATAATGGTACTATATGCTGGGTCCTGACAAGAAGAACCTGCTGAATGGGAGAAAAGTTGGGAACCACTGTTCAAGTCATCAACCACGTTTTATTCAACCATCATTCATATAGCACAACTTTAATAGGAGAGAGAATCTCTAAAGATTTTGAGAAAAGCCAAACTGTCAAATGTCTTAACTGTGGCAAGCAAGTCATTTCAAAGGGAACTGTAGGCAGAACCAAGCTAATTGCAGAAGAAGGCCTGAACCTTCTGGAATATGCAGAAGGTATGGCAAAGGCTGGCATTGGACTAATGAATGCAGACCAACAAGGGACAAATAGGGTAACCCTTATCAGGAAACCAAGGGGCTGCTTGCAAGCGCCAATATCAACTTAAAATTCGTTCTTTCAGGTCAACAATGGAGAAACCTATGACAAGAGCAATTAAATAGCACTGCTGTGGATATGGACATTAATAACCCAGATATCAAGGTCAGAGCAGCTCCAATAGATACAAATTGGGTTACTTGATTTGTTGCTGTTTAACTTCTTTAGTTCTTTATATATTCTGGATATTAGCCCTCTGTCAGATATAGGTTTGGTGAAGTTCCTTTTCCAATCTGTAGGCTGTTGTTTTGTTCTGGTGACAGTGTCCTTTGCTTTGCAGAAGCTTTTCAGTTTCATGAGGTCTCATTTACTGATTGTTGCTCTTAGAGCCTGTGCTGTTGGTGTTCTGTTCAGGAAGTTGTCTCCTGTGCCAATGAGTTCAAGGCTCTTGCCCACTTTTTCTTCTAACAGGTTTAGTGTGTCCGTTTTTATACTGAGGTCCTTGATCCACTTGGATTTTAGTTTTGTGCAGGGTGATAAGTATGGATCTATTTTCATTTTTCTACATGTAGATATCCAGTTAGACCAGCACCATTTGTTGAAGATGCTATCTTTTTTCCATTGTATGGTTTTGGCATCTTTATCAAAGATCAGGTGTCCATAAGTGTGTGGGTTTATTTCTGGGTCTTCTCTTTGATTCCATTGATCCACCAGTCAGTTTTTATGCCAGTACTATGCAGTTTTAATAACTGCTGCTCTATAGTACAGCTTGAGATCAGGGATGGAGATACCTCAGAAGATCTTTTATTGTAGAGGATTGTTTTAGCAATTCTGGGTTTCTTGTTATTCCATATGAAGTTGAGAATTTTTCTTTCAAGGTCTATAAAGAATTGTGTTGGTAATTTGATGGGAATTGCATTGAATCTGTAGATTGCATTTGGTAGGATGGCCATTTTTACTATGTTAATCCTGACAAGCATGAGCATGGGAGATCTTTTCATCTTCTGATATCTTCTTCTATTTCTTTCTTCAGAGACTGAAAGTTTTTTTCATACAAGTCTTTGACTTGTTTGATTAGAGTTACACCAAGGTATTTTATGTCCTTTGTGGCTATTGTGAAGGGTGTTGTTTCCCTAATTTTTGTATACAGGAGGGCTACTGATTTTTTTGAGTTGATTTTGTATTCAGCCACTTTGCTGAAGGTGTTTATGAGCTGTAGGAGTTCCCTGGTAGAATTTTTGGGGTCACTCATGTATACTATCATATCATCTGCAAATAGTGATACTTTTAAGTTCTTCCTTCCCGAACTGAATCCCCTTGATCTTCTTTAATTGTCTTATTGCTCTAGCAAGGGCTTCAAGTACTTTGTTGAAGAGATACGAAGAGAGTGGGCAGCCTTGCCTTGTCCCTGATTTTAGTGGGATTGCTTTAAGTTTCTCTCCGTTTAGTTTGATGTTGGTTATAGGCTTGCTGTATATTGCCTTTACTATGTTTAGGTAAGTGCCTGATAAAGTCCCTGATCTCTCCAGGACTTTAAACATAAATGAATGTTGGATTTTATCAAATGCTTTTTCAGCATCTAAGATTATCATGTGGTCTTTTTCTTTTAGTTTGTTTATATGGTGGAATACATTGATGGATTTCCGTATATTGAACCACCCTTGCATGCCTGGGATGAAGCCTACTTGGTCATAGTGTATGATATCTTTGATGTGTTCCTGGATTCAGTTTGCGAGTAATTTATTGAGTATTTTTGCATCAATGTTCATAAGAGAGATTGGCCTGAAATTCTCTTTCTTTGTTGGGTCTTTGTGAGGTTTAGGTACCAAGGTGACTGTGGCTTCATAGAATGAGTTTGGTAGTGTTCCTTCTGTTTCTATTTTGTGGAATAGTTTAAAGGGTATTGGTGTTAGCTCTTCTTTGAAGGTCTGGTAGAATTCTGTGCTGAAACCATCTGGCCCTGGGCTTTTTTCGATGGGAGACTTTTGATGACAGCTTTTATTACTTTAGTGGATTTAGGACTATTTAATTGATTTACCTGTTCTTGATTTAATTTTGGCAAGTGGAATCAATCAAGAAAATCATCCATTTCATTTAGATTTTCAAATTTTGTGACATTGTGGCTTTTGAAGTAAGATCTAATGATTGGATTTCCTCAGTCCCCCTTTTCATTTCTGATTTTGTTGATTTGGATGATGTCTCTCTGACTTTTAGTTAGTTTGGCTAAGCGTTTGTCTATCTTGTTGATTTTCTCAAAGAAACAGCTCTTGGTTTCATTGATTCTTTGAATTGTTTTATTTGTTTCTAATTTATTAATTTCAGCCCTGAGTTTGATTATTTCCAGCCATCTACTCCTCAGGAAGTTAAAAAGCAACAAATCAAGTAACCCAATTAAAAAATGGCGTACAGAGCTAAACAGAGAATTCTCAATAGAGGAACATCGAATGGCAGAGAAACACTTAAAGAAATGCTCAACATCCTTAGTCATCAGGGAAATGCAAATCAAAATGATCCTGCAATTTCACCTTACACCCATCAGAATGGCTAAGATAAAAAACTTAAGTGACAACACATGCTGGAAAGGATGTGGAGAAAAAGGAACCCTACTCCATTGCTGGTGGGAATGTAAACTTGTACAACCACTTTGGAAATCAATCTGGTGCTTTCTCAGACAAATAGGAATAGTACTACCTCAAGACCCAGCTGTACCACTCTTAGGCAGATATCCAAAAGATGCTCACGTATACAACAAGGACATTTGCTCAACCATGTTTGTAGCAGCTTTATTTGTAATAGTCAGAACCTGGAAACAACCCAGATGCCCTAAGTAGAGGAATAGATAAAAAAAAAAAATTGTGGTACATTTACACAATGGAATACTACTCAGCAATTAAAAGCAAGAAATCATGAAATTTGCAGGCAAATGGTGGGATCTAGAAAAGATCATCCTGAGAGCGGTATCCCATAAGCAGAAAGATACATATGGTATATGCTCACTTATAAGTGGATATTAGACTTATAATGCAGGGTAATCATGCTAAAATCTGTACACCTAAGGAAGCTAAGCAGGAAGGAGGACCCTAGGTAAGA